ATAGGGGTATGCCAAATTTTTTACTTTTTGATGAAATTTTATAAAGAACAGAAAGTAGGGTTTTGGTAAAGGGTTTCAGTTTGCGGGTAGTCTTAAGCTTTGATAGGAAGTGTGTTGAAAACTTGCTTGTTGTTTTCCTTCAGACCAACTATCTTTTACTATGTCAGCAGAAGCTATGCTTCTATTAAAATTTTTTATACAAGAGTATCACCTCCTGCTAGTTATCTTGTACAGAAACATTTTTAACTTGCTTGCTAAATATACAGAGAAGTCCAGAAGAAAACAATCGAGAAAGCTTTGATCTCTATAAAAACTATTACTTGTAGTTGTCTCTTCTACTTTCTTCAACAAGTTTTCTATTTTTATTAGTTATAAGTTTGATATAAGTGATTGTTAAAAAGAGTTGTGTTGCAAATCCAGTTATATTTGTTATATTTTTATATATTAGTTATTATATATATTTTATATATATATTTTTTTATACTAATGATATAATTATCTTCAGGCATATATGGTGCTCTTTTATTTATAAATTATTTTATAATTATATACATTGTAGATATTTACAAATAGAGTTTATCTGTGGATTGCTGTTTAGATTTGAAGCTATTACTTTTATCTTTTTGAAGATATAGTTTCTAATATATATAGGTATTACTGTTTCTGGTGTCATTAAGTTTTCTACTTATATAATATAAACTAGCTCCGAATTTCATAGATTGTGTTCGTATGAAGCCAGAGAGCTACTTTGCAGTGCTCTAAATCTTTAAGATTATTTGCTATGAAGATTTCTTTAATTGAAAATAGGATCGATGTTTCTTTAATATTAGAAGCTTGTAAACTTCATTCCATATTCTTTTATTTATATTACACTCAAGCGTGAAATATTTTATCATTTGAAGTTTATCTGGATACCAGAGACAGTCTCCTGACTCTGTTGCAGATATGTATTGTAACCAATATTCTAAAAGAAGAGCCTTATAGTACATGCACTATAATATATCCTTTTTCTTGTTATTAGCTGAATATAGTATTTGTTGAGGCAACTGTTTATTTTCTTAAGATTCCTATTAGGTTTTTAACTATAAAGTCCATATTTTGTTTCTCATCAACCTTAAAGTCTTCTATTTTCTAGAGCCAACTATAATTTGCTATAATTTTTTTCTAATTTTTTTTTATGCTACCAGATTGCCAGATATAGTTTCTATTTCGTTGGCTAGACTTTAGATCTAATTAAAGTTGATATTAGAAATTATAATACTATAATGTTTCTTTTTTGTCTTAAAGAAGAAGAGATTCTGTTTCATTCAATTTTTGCCTATAGGCAGTCACTAATTGTTAGTCTTGTCTATACAGTTAACATTCTTGCATCTAGCATATTGCTAACTATTGAAGCTTAAAGACCTCCATGTTCATAGGATAGCTAAAAAGTTGAGTATCTAGAAAGCATTCTGGATCTATATAGTAATTAGTTTATTAATTTCTGCTACTTGCTTTCTACTTGAAGATAGTAAATATGCTATATACTATATGCATACAAGTATAAGTGAATTTGCTACTAGAATTTTTCCTCTAAAGGGGAAATTTCTTTGGGAGAACTTGTCTGTGAGGCTTTTGATCTTTGTGATAACTATAGTCTATAAGTCTTTTTTAGATATTCCATCTTAATAGATTTTATAACCTAATATCATAATTGCTTCTTACTCCGCTACTTTGTAAATTAGTTTTCTTTTGTAAGCTCAACTCTTCTAACCATTACTATAAGAGATACTAGTTTTGTTTTGCTTTTATTAATTTTGGCATTAAAGGCATTTTCATATATGTGAAATAATTCTAGTACTTGGTTTCAGTCTAAGAGAGATCCTATTCCTATTGTTAAATCATCTGATATGCTATTGTTTTGAAATAGTATCCTTGAACTGGTATTTCTTGAATTTTATTTTTTATCACTTTTAGTAATGGTTCAAAAGCTATAACATAAAGAAGAGAAGAAAGAGGGTCTTCTTGGCAAACATCTTTTTTTATTCTAAAGAGACTTGAGATATTTTCTGAATCTATGATATATGCTTCTTGGTTTGAAAACAGAATTTTGATTACTCTTTTGAATCTTATATCAAAGTTCATTTTTTCTAAAACTATTTGCAGATATGTATGATCAATCCTGTCAAAGGCTTTTTTCTAATCTACAAAAAGTATCCAGTGTTGTTTAGTAATGTTCATTTGATTTTTCATAGTCATAAAGATATCCAAAGCTACATTTGCTATTGATCTCTTTGTAACAAAGCTCTGTTGATAATCTGAAATTATAGACTTGCAGACTTTATTTAGTCTGGTGGCCAAAATTTTTATGAAAATTTTGGTATTACAGTTGACTAATAAAATTGGTCTTCAGTTATCTTTTTTTTTTTTTTGGTATTAAGGTGACCAACCTCTTGGCCAGTTCTCTTTATTCAGTTATTAATTAACGTTTTACTATATGCTAAGCCCCTTTCGGTGTCTATATAGTATACATATTTGGAGGATACATACTAGTCACATATACAACTTTTGATTGCCTATTTAAGTAGTTCGCTTATTACTAAGTTCTATACTAGATACCATACCTGCAACCCAACTAGAGGATTATCTATTTAAACCCTTTGTACTTTATGTGGGGTCAACTTTTTCATATAACCGAATTAGAGTATATCCCTTAAGAACACCAACTTAGGACTTTAAAGCAGGCTCAACTAGCGAGCCCTTTGTCCTCAAGGTAAACCTGCTAGAGCTTTCTGTACCCACAATCTAATTAGTCTAGATTTAGTAACCTACGCCCAAGTCTGAAGACAAGTACTTGCGAGCCAAGACCACTACCGTTATCTACTTCTGCCCTTATAGAGTTCACCCAGACCCCAGTACATACTTTACAGACCATCTACAGTATCTCTAACTATTCAAACTACCAATTCAGATGGCCCAAAAGGGCTGTGACCTGCTCCTGGTTCTACAAGTGGGTCCTTTTCCTCTGATTACTCTTCTGGTAGCCTGGTTGGTGAAGTATCTTGCCAAACCCTTCGGTCCCATTCAGTTTTGTTAGTTTTTCTGATGATGATCTTTTACATAGTACCGTTGAAGATCTGTACTATCTCTCTATTCGGAACTTGCCAAGCGAGTGCCTTACCGCTGTATTGGTCCTGTGGCTTTTTGTGATCCAAAGATCTATTCATATAACTTATATATCATACAAATATCCTGAGATCTCCCAGTTCTAATGAATTGGTATGACCACAGTTACAAGGTCTCGAGTTTTCTCAACCATGACGATAGTTATCAAATCTATTTTTCTTAAAATTTAATTTTCACTCTCTGTGGAAATTGAACCAATACTTAACCGCTTAGGGGTGTGACAACTTCACCACTTTACTAAGTCACCACACTCTTGCCTTCAGTTATCCAGATTGTTTAGGTTTGCTAACTTCTTGGGTATTAGAGTTATCATGTTTTTGTATCAAGATGCTAGAAGCATTCCTGCTATTAGGACTTGATTAAAGATTTTTTCAAGAACTAGGACTATCTATTCCTCTGTAAGCTTATAGAACTCATATATAAAACTATCAATTCCTAGTGATTTGTTGTTTAGAAGCTGTTTTATTGTTTGACTAATTTCTTCTTGAGTAATAGGTTTGATCAATCCTATGTTTAGTTCTTCTGAAACTTGTGCAAAATTGCTAGTTAATTTGTCAATTGCTTTCTGATCTGTTTTTTCTAAGTACTTTGTGGACTTTTTTCCTTGTTTAATCCACTTTGCTTTTGAGCAAATTTGCTATCTGTCTGCCAGTAGAGTCAGTTCTTCCTGTATACAGAAGTTAAAATTCTTACATATAGAGTATAAGAAGAATTTAGTTGGATCTTCTGTGATTTGTTTCTGCAGTTTCGTAAGTTTTTTGTTAATCTTTGAGATTTTGTTTTCTGAAGCTTTTGGCTTTCTAAAAGCTCTTATAATTGACTGAATTCTTAGCTTTTGTAAGTCCCACTCTAATAGTTCTTCAAAAGATATGATTTCTTCTATTATTTCTTTTTTCAAAAGTTTATTTTTAAAAGAATTTTTATTAAACCTCTAGTTAGAAGATTGATTGATCTTCTGTCTTTAGCTAGAATGTATTCGATTAATAAGTGGTCTGAGTTGCCAAAAAGCAGCTTTGTAGATGATATGAGATGTTTATAGTTCTCATCTATAAAGATATAGTCAAGTCTAGTTGCAATTGTTTGATTGTTTTGAACTCTTTGGTGAAATATTTTTGCTTTGCATATATAGCAGAGTCTATGTAGTTTTTTATCAGGTTTTTGAGTTAAGTTCTGATATTGTCATTTTGTAGTACAGCTTGGCTTATTCTGTCTATAGTCGGGTTTAGATTTGTATTAAAATCTTCTGCTAGAATATTGATAGTATTTTCTTTGTACTGTGGAGACCACTTGTCAAAAAAGCTATTCTATTTTTTATATTTGGAGAAGCATATAGGTTTGTAATTGAGAAAGATTAACCTCTATATATAAAGCTTGTAAGGATTACTTTTTTTTCATATGGAATCTCAGTATTCTGAAATTTTATTTCTTTTCTTTCTACCAATATAGCGGTCTTGTTTGTTCAAATTGATTCATAAATTCATTGCTTCTTAATAAAGATTTGTGTTGCCTGGTTGTTTAGATTTGTTTCTTGTAATAGTATTAGATCTAAGTTATAAGATTTTAAAAGTATCATTGTTTTTTGTCCTTTGTTCTGATCATTAAGTCTCTTTATATTTAGGATAGCAATTCTAATTATTGCTTTAGTTATTAGATATTATAAGAGTAAGTATGCTTTTATTGAGCTTTTGAAGAATTCTTCTCTGTTTATCTTTTCTTGTATGGAGCTTGTCTTACTGTTGCTTGCTTATATATATTTTGATTTGTTTGTTTTTTTTCTTTTTGTAGAATACAGTTGTAAAGTCTTCTTCTATTGGAATTGCTGACAATGTAATTTCTTAAGGAGGGTTATTCTTTTTTTTATTATCTTTAAAAGATAGACCGTCCAATGCAAGCTCATCTCTTGTTGTAAGTTTTGCTTCTAAGAAAGTGGTTGCTTGTTCAGCTTCTTTCTGAGTATCTTCTATCTTGTCATCTGTACTATGCGAGATATCTTTTACCTCTTGCTTATTTGGTATTTCTATACTTATTGCTTCTTCTTTTGATTTCTTTTTCTCTTTAATTTCTGAGAGACTTTCTATTTCTAGAGCTGTTTTGCTAAAGTAGTCCCTGTTTTTTGTCTTAGAGGTTTCTTTGAACTCTCGATAATGCTGTCTTAATACAACTGACTTTTTGAATTGAAAGTATTCTTTTTTTATATACCTTTCTTGGTTGCAGAAGTAGCAAATTTTAGGAGCTGCCTTCTATTCAGTTGTGATTTTGTTGTCTTTAAGATGAGTAAAGTGAGGGATTTACTTTTCTAAATCTCTGTTTTCTGTTATGTCAAAAATGATAATCTATTGATCAGTTAAATATAGTGTTTTCTCAATTACTAGTGGTTTGATTGAAGTTATTTTGCCAAAATCTTGAAATACATCTTTGATTAGCATTGTTATCTCTTCTTTTCCTTCTAGTGGAATATTCTTAAGCTTTACTAAGAGGAAAGAGTTGTGCAAGTCTGTTGGAATATAACTAAAATATGATTTGTTGAAGATATTAATACCCTTGATGCATAATGACTAAGAGTATTTTTGTTGGTAAAAATAATTTTCAAGTATGTGTGATTGCTTTTTTTGAAGTGTTGCTTTGCTGCTATGATATCTTGTTTGATGCTTTCATAAAGCAAGATCATTATTTTATTGAAGAAGCTTTGAATATCTTGTATTTTAATAATTAATATATTCTTATTCTTGGTTTTTATTTGTTCTCTAGGAGAGAAGGCTGCATAAGTCGATTAGCCCCTTTTTAGTTTTGCAAATAGACTTAACTACTTTTTGTTAGTTGTATTTCTTGGCTAACTAGTATCTGCTTTAGCTTTTCTTTTTGAAGTTGAGCTTCTAATATATAGATTATTTTCTAAAAATTCTGTGGCCTCTGGTGTAGTTTGTTTTATTGGTTGTTCTTGATCTATAGTCACATGATCTTGCATATGTTCTGTAATGTAACTTGTTTTGTTGTTTCTTCATTTTTACGTGTTGACATGTTTGTAGAGGTTAAGCTTTGGCTCTCTTCTTCTAAAGATACTAGTTCCTTCTAGCTAGTATTTTTTGTAGTTGTTTTGCTTGCTTGAGTTAAAGTGGCTGCATTTGCAGTAGTTTCTTCTTCTTGTTGTTGTTTTGACATCGAAGAGAAAGTTTTGTATTTTTAGTTTTTTGT